AACCCACAAACCGTGAGATCATGACCTGAGCCAAAGTCAGCACTTAACCTACTAAGCCACCCAGGCGCCCCTGAATCCATAATTTTTAAAAGTCTCTAAGACTATACTAATTCACTGGAGAATTCTACCAAATGTTAAAAAAAAAACAAAAAAAAATCAACACCAATACTACACAATCTGTTCCAGAAAACAGAAGAGGAGAAACACTTCCTAATTCAGTCTATGAGCTAGTATTACTCTGATACCAAAGCCAAAGTACAAAAAAAAAAACAAAACAAAAACAAAAAAAACCACTATAGACTAATACCCCTCATGAATATACACACAAAAATTCAGTAACAAAATCTTAGCAAATACAATTCCTATATACAGAATTATATACCTGACCAAGTGAAGCTGATTTCAAGCAAGGAGGCTGGTCAATATTTGAAGATCAGTCAATGTAATCCAGTATATTAGCAGTCAAAAGAAAAAATTCCATTATCAATTGATGCAGGGAAAAAAATAGACAAAATTCAAAACCGATTCATGTTTAAAACCTCTCAGAAAAATGGAAATAGAAGGTGAACAATAGCTCCCTAAAAATGTCCACATCCTAATCCACCAAACCTGGGAATATGTTACCTTATTTGGCAAAAGATAAGCCACACATCTGATTAAGTCAAGGATCTTGAGATAGGGAGATTACATATGAGTGGGCCCTAAATCCAATCACAAGTATCCTTATGAGAGAGAGGAAGACGGAGCTTAGATACACACAGGAGGAGGAGCGTGTAACCTCCACGTGACCATGGAGGCTGAGATCTGAGTAGTGCGGCCCCAAGCCAAGGAATGCCAGCCGCCACTACACGCTGGAAGAGGCAAGGAATAGCTTCTCCCTAGAGTCTCCAGGAGTACAGCCTTCCTCACTCTTTGATGTCAGCCCAACCTGATTGATTTCTGACTTTCAGAACTGAGAGAGTATATTTCTAGCTTTGTTAAACCACTCAGTTTGTGGTAAATTTGTCACAGCAGCCATCGGAAACTAATTTGTCCCTAGAGCCTCATGCGGCTCTGCCTACACCTTAATTTTGGCCCATAAGACCCACTGTGGACTTCTCACATCCAGAACTGTAAATAATAAATTTGGCTTGTCTCAAGGCACTAAATTTGTGGTACTTAAGACAGACTAGGACTTCTTCAACTCGATTAAGAACATTTACAAAAACCTACAACTAACATTATATTTAAGGGTGAAAAACTGAATGTTTTCCCCTTAAAACTAGGAACAAGGAAAGGATTTCACTATTACCAGTCTGAAAATTCTAGGAGTTCAAACCAGTGCAAGAAGGCAAGTAAAGGAAATAACAGGCACTTATATTAGAAAAGAAATAAAACCGTGCCTATTTGCAGATTACATGATTATCTATATAGAAACTTCCAAGGAATCTACAAGAAAATTAATAAGTGAGTTTAGCAAGATCACAGAATACAAAATAAACATGCATAAACTAGTTCTATTTCTAGAAATGCACATCTGGACACAAAATTAAAATACCATTTAGAATCACTCAATAAAAAATTCTTAGGTGTAAATCCAACATGTTCAGGATTTATATAAAAATTACACCATCCTGGAGCACCTGGTGACTCAGTCAGAAGAGCATGTAATTCTTGGTCTCAGGGTTATGAATTCGAGGCCCAGGTTGGGTGTAGAGATTACTAAAAAATAAAACTTAAAAAGAAAAACTACACAGCCCTGATAAAAGAATAACTGAAGGGATATACCACATTCATAGACTGGAACTTTCAAGTTAGTAAAGGTATCAATCCTCCCAAAATTGATACACAGGTTTAACATAATATATGTCAAAATTCCAGCAAGTTTTCTTTTGCAGATATAGACAAGATTAGTCTACAAAAGGCAAAGAAACTGGAATATTAAAAAAAAACAAAAAACAAAACAAAACAAAAAACTTTGAGGGGCTCCTGGGTGGCTCATTTGTTTAAGTGTCTGACTTCAGCTCAGGTCACGATCTCCTGGTTCATAGGGCTGGAGACCCGCTTCACGCTCTGTGCAGACAGCCTGGAGCCTGCTTCAGATTCTGCCTCCCTCTCTCTCTGCCCCTCCCTTGCTCATACTCTGTCTCTCTCAAATAAAAACATTTAAAAAATGTTTAACTTTGAAAAAGAATGATAAAGTGGGAAGAATTAGTCTACCCAATTTCAAGACTTATTATATAGCTACAGTAATCAATATTGTTGTGTGGAAGACAGACAGACATATAGATCAGTGGAATAGAATATAAAATCCAGAAAGAGACTCGGACAAGCATGCCCAACTTATTAAGTGTAAAAGCAGGTCACCAGAGGAGAGATAGCCTTTTCAACAGATAATACTAGAGCAATTGGACATCCATAGGCAAGAAAAAAATACCTCAACCTACACCTCACACCTTATCCAAAATTAACTCTAAATGGATCAGAGACTTAAATGTAAAACACAAAATTTATAACAAAAAACACAGGAGAAAATCTTTAGGATCCAGGGCTAAGCAAAGACTTCCTAGATTTGGCAGCCAAACTACAATCCATAAAAAGAAAACCTGATAAGTTAGACTCTGTCAAAATTAAAACTTTTGTGCATCAAAGGACATGATCAAGAAAGTGAAAAGATTACCCACAGGATGGTACAAAATATTTTCAAATTGTTGGTGACAAATCAGACCGAATATCCAAAATATATAAGAACTCTTACACTTAACAGCAAAGAACCCAATTCACAAATAGGCAAAGGACTAAAATTTTTTAAAAATTATTATAAAATAAAATAAAAATAAAAAATCTCCCAGAGAAGATATACAAATGCTCAAGAAACACATGAAAAGATGAGTCAACATCATTAGCTATCAGGAAAATTCGAATCAAAACACAGTAAGATTTCATTTCACACCCAACAAGATTTCTGTAATAAAAAAAAAAAAAGTGTTAGTAGAAATGTGGAGACACTGGAACCCTCACATGCTGCTGGTGGGAAGGTAAAAATGATGCAGAAACTACTGTAGAAATCATTTTAGTAGTTTCTCAATAAACACAGAATTACTATCTGACCCACCAATTCCACTTCTGGATATAAAATGCTCAAAAGCACTGAAAATAAGAGTTCCAGGGACACCTAGGTGGCTCAGTTGGTTAAGCATCCACCTTTAGCTCAGGTCATGATTTCACAGTTCGTGGGTTCAAGCCCCGCATCGGGCTCTGTGCTGACAGCTCAGAGCCTGGAGCCTGCTTCAGTTTCTGTGTCTCCCTCTCTGCACCTCCCCCATTCATGCTTTGTCTGTCAAAAATAAATAAAATGGTAAAAATAAATAAAGATAAAAAATAAAATCTTTTTTTAAAAATTTTTAAATGTTTATTTTTGAGAGAGACGGAGACAGGGTGCAAGCAGGGGAGGGGGAGACAGAGAGGGAGACACAGAACCTGAAGCAGGCTCTAGGCTCCAAGCTGTCAGCACAGACCCGACACGGGGCTCAAACTCCTGGACCGTGAGATCATGACTTAGGCTGAAGTCAGACACTCAACTGACTGCCACCCAGGCGCCCCAAAAATAAAATCTTAAAAAAAAAAGTGAGCTTAAGGAGTATGTGATTTCCTTCTGAGGTGAGGAAAATGGTCTAGAACTAGACAGTGGTGATAGCTACACAACACGACGAAGGTACTAAGTGCACTAATGGTAAGTTTTGTATTATGTGTATTTTTCCACAACGGTAAGTATATAGCCTTCACACGATGGGCAGGATGAAATGAGCTCTCTTTCTTTATTTAGGTCGGGATCCCTGTCTCCTCTATGTGGAAGCATAAGAAAATCAACTCAAAATTTCTAAGAAATCGGTCATCCCGGATTTGAATCATGAGGTATAATGCAAGGTCCTGCTGCCGGCTCAGGGTCTGCCCCCACCGACCATGCCTTCTCCCGGGTGTCCCTTCGGAACATTTCTGCCTCTAGGACAATGAGGCTTCCAAAGTGTGGATTTTTAAGAAATTCAAATTAACCCTTGCAAATCAGAGAAATCCATCGAGGCAAGCTTCACTGTTTATTAAACATACCCTTTCTCGGGGCTTCCCCATCCTGGGGAGGTCTGTCCCTGCCCTCCACCACTTCCGGCCACAGCTGCGCTGTCGCCTGGCTGTGTCACCCATCTAGGCGCTCTCTCTAAAAAGGAAGTCAATGAAGAACAAGCCAGGGGCTAATGGAGCTCAAACCCCGCTCTGTTCCTCCTAGATTCTGTGTGTTGGCTGCAGCTCCCTCCGTTCCTGAAACGTTATCATTTGTTTCTCTTCACGTTACCTGGAGAGCACACACGTGAACTTTTTCTCTTCTCCATTATTTTAAAAGGGCCAAACCTAAATGGCACGTTTTCCCCACTTGGCTCTACAAGGCTGGGCTGGGCTGGCGCGGCCGGCCCGAGAACGGCAGGGCGCTGCGATGCCAGGGGACAAGCCCAGGCCCTTCCCAGAACCTCCCTCACTCGTGATGCCAGCAAGAGCTCACAACTGCACCTGCCCATTAGAGGCCCAGACAGGAAGTGGGAAGAATGGAGGCTGTACCACCCCTAAACGTCCAGGTCACCTGCTGCAGACCCTGCAATAGACTCCTACTAGTTCTTGGTTTCTTGTTGCACATTTGAAAGCTTCAGGGGAATTCGGTCCTAGAAATGACGTTTCTACCAACTTATTTCAACTGCGCCCTATCCTGAGCTGAACTGGACAAAGCAACTTTCTGACTTCTGGAGACGCCCTTATAGTCACATTTTGGATAATCCTACAGATTCCTCAGAGCCCTCAGAGAAACGCTTTACCCTTAGAGAAATAATACGAGCACCCCAGTGTCTCGGCTTCTCAGGTCTGCATGCTGAAGGGAGCCCCTGGCCAGCGGAGGAAAGACTGGAGGTCTTTTGGCTTCTCTGCCAGTTGGCGGCCCAGAGCACCGGGGCCCAGGCACAGCTGCAGCACAGGAAGAGTGGAGGTTTCCCTGCAGGTCAGAAGTTTATTAGTGAACAAGTGTGGGCCAGCTGGTGTTTACATGCTGCTCCCGCAGCCCTGGTGCCCTGGCTGCAGGAGGGGAAGGGGGCTTCCTGCTCTGGGGTCGGTGCGGATGTCACCCCCAGAAAGTGGTGAGGAGTTCTCCTGGGCCCAAGGCGCCAGGGCGCTGAGCCGGTGCTATCAGAGAGATTCCACTTCTGTTTCTAGTGCCTGGGCCGGAGGGAGGAGGGCTTTTAGGATCTCCGTGTAGTAGGGGCCAAACACCTTCTGATTGTGGTGTGTCAGGCTGACAAACTTCTGGCCCAGTTCCGCCAGTTCTGCTTCAATGACGGTAAGGCCTCCGGGGAGATCTAACAGAGACCGCTGAACACCAAGGACCAAACAGCATTTGAGAAACAAATGGATCCGCTGATCTGTAAGCAGGAGACGGCAGTGAGAATGGAAAAGGCAAACAACTTTCAGGGGGCAACGTGACCCCTGCAACTGTACTCGCTCAAGCTCCAAGTTAACAGAGATGTTTGCTAGCCGGTCCACCCTGGGGACAAGGACATTTGTTCTGTTTGGGAAGGGGGCTGCTATCCGACTCTCAAGGACAAAGGAAAGCTCACAAACTAGTGGGCTAGTAAATTCAAGACTATTCAAAAGATTACCTGAGCATCTATCGGTAGATCCTAGTGAGTATTTAATACAAGGATCTCAGACAATCCTTCAGATGGCTGAGGTTAAGAGCAAGGCCAAGTTTATGCCCTCCATTCCAATAGGGATGAGTCCTTGCTATGGGAAAATGTCCTCTGGCATCAGTTTCTTATTGCTGGGAGGTAGGGGTGGGTGTCACATGTCTCGGACTACAGTCAGGAAATGGCCCAAAAGGCCAGGGTGACTGGCCAGGTTGGTTGGGCAGTAGGCCATACTCAGAAGTCAGAAGTATGGGACAAAGACTGATTCTTGTTCTACAGAACAAGAAGTCAGAATTCTTGTTCCGTAGAACAAGAATCAGTCTTTAAACTAAAAGTACTGTATTTTCAACCCAGGATTTTGGAAAAACTAAAGCCTAAACAGTGACTTGCCCAATGGTCATGCTTTTTATTGTTAAATGGTCCCGTAACTGACTTCCAGGGACGGGATCTACCCCTCGCCAGAACATTCTCACCGTCCCCACAGGCACGCTCACCAATGACACTACGGACACAGTTCTCCTTCTTGGCAATGTTCCGGAGCTGTCCCATCAGAGACGCCATGTTTTCACTGCTCAGCGCGGCAAGGCCCATGTTCTTGAGGCCTTGATGGATTTCCTGAGACACCTGCTCACTCACAGTCTGCATAGCCTCCTCAGGCCTAGACCGTAATGGAGAGTAAGCTGGTACCCAGCCGATGGCCCTGGCATTGGCCCAGCGCCAGGGATGCTCCACACCAGGAGCTGGGCCCACTTGAGGGAGACCCCAGCCATCCTCCTGCCCTCACCCCAGTCCCTGGTAGCGACAGGGCCCAGTGGAGAGGTTCAGTATCTTCACTATTACCCTCCAGATGCCGACTAGTCTCTCTAATACCATGTTCTACTTCTTAGAAAACAAGATAAAGTCAACTCTGCACAGGAGTTTGGTATCCACTCAGAATTCTTCAGTGCTATGGAATTTATTTATATATGTGTGTATACAATTTTAGCCTTTCTTGGACAGTTTCCATGGTCATATGTCCAATTACAGGGACAGACCTGGCCTTCTGATTCCTTTTTGTTGTCTGGCGTGACCCCCTGCACACAGTGGATGTTCAATCTGACAGATCAGCTCCTGGATATACCGGAGGCCAGCCTGCCGTCACCCACTCAGTGAGATAACCACTGCTTTGTAGCAAACGAATTACATGGTAAACTGCCCTCTGCACCACCCTCTTTGGAAGAAAGCTTTCTTTTTCTCTGTCACAAGTCTCAAGACCATTATGGAAAGACACCAACAGTCTTGGGGGCTGGTCCCAATCTTTGTGGTCGGTGGTAGAATGTAAGGCATCACCCACGACCTGTCCGTGTCCTCGTACCACAACTACCATCTACTCCAAAAAAGGTCTGTGTGGTTCACCTGGACTTGAACTCCTCCATCAGGTCTTTGGTTATCCGCTTTAGCTTATCCACAAACTGGGGCGAGCCAAACAGCACGCTGCCAGAGAAACTACCGGCCACCAGCAGGACTGAGGCCAGGAAGGTGAGCTGGCGCAGCTGGGACTCGAGCTCCTGCAGCCGCGTTCTGTCCGCCAGCAGGGTCTGCGGGAGCAAGGGGAGCAGGCTGTCAGGGGACGAGAGTCCTGAATACAAAACAAGGCGATGCCGTCCACGGGCCTACCTCAGGGAAATCCTCGTCTTCAGGGTCCCAGAGAAGGAGGTTCAGGAAGCCCTGGGACAGCACCATTGTCAGGCTGAGGGGCTCTGGGCTGATGGCCGCCTCGCTCGGAGAGGAGCTGACCACACTGGCGGAGTCGGAAGTGTCAGGGCAAGTCGGAAGCGGCGTGGTGAGGTCTGCCGCAGCCTGGGTCAGCCACTTGGTGGTGTGATTGAGGAGGCCTGTGACAGGAGGACAGTGGGGAGGCAGGGAAGCGCGTGCAGCATCCGCATCCCGAAAGATCCAAGACTAAGGTTCTCTTCAAGATATGCTCCTGGTCAACAAATCAGTGGTTTGGTGGTGGCGGTGGTGGGGGATTTCTGTCTCAGACACCTCCTCCTTCTCCCTTCCCCTACCTGAGGAAGAAACTTTCTGCTCCCAAGAGGCAGAATACTCTCGAACATCATGGCAGTCAGACCCAAGATCCTATCTTTCTACTCCTGCCCCCAAGTTATTTACATACTTGGCTGCTTATTGAGGAGTTCCTGGAATGTAGCCCGTTCACGCTGGATGGAATGTTCCCGCAGGTGGGGTTGAAGGCTCTGGATGGTATAGTTCACCATGTCCATTTTCATCAGGCCCAGGACTTGGAAAATCCCCCTGACACAGAAAATAAAATATACCCTGAAAGGAAATCTAGTGAGAGGGGAGCCTACAGAAAGTATCATTAAATCACTGTATTCAGAGTTAGAAGCTCTTAAACTAACTTAGTTCCAATCTCCTAAGTTTACAAAAGATGCCATTGTGACTGAGGGGACTTAGGACCCAAGGCCCAGAGTAAGTGAATGGTGGAAAGGGGAACAGGTTAAGTCTCTGGACCTTGATACCTCCAGGGTAGTTCTCTCTCCATAGGATCATTCTGTTGTCTGCTTTAAAAGGTAGAGTCAAGGGTGCCTGGGTAGCTCAGGTGGCTAAGCGTCTGACTTTGGCTCAGGTCATGATCTCATGGCTTCGTGGGTTTGAGCCCTGCATCAGGCTCTGTGCTGGCAGTGCATAGCCCACTTGGTATTCTCTCTCTCTGCCCCTCCCTGACTTGTGCTCTTTCTCTCTCAAAATAAATTTTAAAAAATAATAATAAATGAAAGGTAGAGTCAGCAAAGGAGAATATACTAGCATGCTAAGCCATTTTCTAGGCCAATCTCACTCTCTCTCTCTCGCTCTCTCTCTGGATCTTGATTTCCATAGCTATTATATAGGGATAGCCTCCCATCCCTGTCCCCTCACACTGTGAAAACCTGGGGAAAAGATGTTTAAACACATACTCTAATGTTTTATGATAGGATGTTATATGGGAGGCCTAACCAACCTAAAGTCATTCTAAGGGGAAAAAATAGCTACCAGGCCAGCAAGGAAAACAGAGAGGAATCAGTCAGGTCTTCAGTAGGCAAGAGCCAGCCAAGACAGGGGCTATTATAATCTAGTGTATGACCCCCCTTTCCTGGCCCAGGGACTGAGGCGGGTTTCAAGTCAAGTTTCACACCTCAGTAACCAAACAGGGTCCGTAATGTTCTCCAGTTTCTGCACTGCTTCGTCTCGAACTGGCGCGCACAGCAAAGTCATCATGTCGAGGATATACTTAGAGAGGTGCGGGACATTCAGAGCCCCACGTTCCGCCTTCTGCTTGAGGAGTTCTGTGTCCAGCACCTCCTCAATCTCACTTCTTAGGCGGTTCTGGCGTGGTAACAGCAGCGAGAGCAAGATCTGCCCAGGAAAGAAATCAAAGGGAGTCACTTTCTGTGCAAAGCCCCAAACCTTCTATAACGGACAACCCCTTTGGCCAAGGACATCAGCCTGGCTTTGAGGGACCAAGAAGTGGGGTCCCTAAATTTCCTAGAGAACATTTATCTTTGCTGAGAGGCCAATGATGGTCTGAGGCTTTAGCAGATCGATACAACAACAGTGCATCATTTTCTAGGCAGAATGAGATAGAGAGACAAACAAAATCAAGGAGTGTGGTAAAAAGAAATGCAAAGAACAACAAATATAAAATATACACATCACCCGGTGATGAGGCACACTTGATTTTAAAAAGCAGACACTTTGTAGATTATTTTACTTTAAAGGGCAAGGAACAGTGAAGGGGCACCGGAAAGAGGCTATTAGCTCCGAACTGTAAGTTCTCTGTGAAAAGACTCCTATCCATTCCTGGGCCTCTGTAACAGAGAGCATGGTGGGGATGAGGGGGGGGTTTGACGCATGTCCGCGTAACTGAGAGGAGTGCTGTGTTGTACCACGCTTCCCACCTGTTCGGATTCATCTTAAATACAAGTCTGTCCACGCCATCTAAGTGGGTGAGGTACCTGGGTGGCTCAGTTGGTTGAGTGTCCGACTTGGGCTCAGGTCATGATCTCACGGTTCATGAGTTCGAGCCCCATATCAGGCTCTCTGCTGTCAGTGTGGAACCTGCTTCTGATCTTCTGTTCCCCTTTCTCTGCTCCTCCCCTGCTCACACAGTCTCTTTCTCAAAAATAAATCTTAAAGGGGTGCCTGGGTGGCTCAGTCGGTTAAGCGTCCGACTTCAGCTCAGGTCATGATCTCACGGTTTGTGAGTTCGAGCCCCGCGTCGGGCTCTGTGCTAACCCCTAGCTCAGAGCCTGGAGCCTGTCTTCAGATTCTGTGTCTCCCTCTCTCTCTGACCCTCCCCTGTTCACACACTCTCTCTCTCTCTCTCCCCTTCTCTCTCTCAGAAATAAATAAATAAAAATAAATAAATAAATATTTAAAAAAATAAAGAGTACATTCAAATGGTAAACTATGCCAGTTACCGACTGGAGGTTCCCAGTGGCAAGTATACCCTCCAGGGCCTACTCTGGGAAAACAGAGTCAGGCCCTTTAGGTATTTTTCCCTGGCCGGCTCGCAGAATGGTAAGTCTTGCTTGTAGAGAGAGCTGGAGAGCTCGTGCAGGAGGAAGAGGCCTGCCTCCCTGACCCCGGCGTGGGCCTCCACAGCACGCTCCACGACACTGCGGCTTCTCTTCCTTCGCATTACTGTCTGGGTTCTTCCTTCTGATTGGGCCCTAACTGATACCACACTGGTAGCACAGGTGATGTGGGCTCTCAAAAGGCCAAGTACCCATTGGATCTGAGGAGCAGGAAGCAGCAAGGGCTTTAGATGCCTCTGGGAGACGTGCAAACTACAGGACGGCAGATAATCCCCACAGAACATCAGCGGCCGCCGCCTCAGCGAAGTGGCTCGGGCTTTGGTGGTCGGCAAGCTGTCCAGCTGCCGCCTCCAAGGTGGAAGGACAAGTTGCGGTGCCTCACGCCACCCACCATGAAGAAAGAGGCACATCACCTGTAGGCCTTTCTGGATTTTCGAGGTCACACACACCACAACTGAATTTGTTCCTGCAACACTCATTTAAGGACATCGTGAGGTTTCCAGTTTCGGGGGGGAGCCATATGAGTGGAGCAGAGTGTCTGGCCGTCCTACAGACTGCAACGCTATTTGGGCCATGCGATCCTGCAGGCTCAGTGATAAAGTGTCGTGGCAAGTAAGGACGCTGCAACACAGCCTCTAACAGGCTCCAGTAAGAGCGTCACAGCACAGACCTCTCGACCTTGAGAGCGAATCTATGCCTTCTTCTGCAAATCACCTTTTGAAACACGGTTTCTGGCTTGCCTCTGGGCTTTTGCAGAAGTAAACACCTCACTATAAGACAATGGGGGGCCATGTGGCCTGTGCTTCCCATGAGGAACTATGTGTTGTTGTCTGACCCGCCTAACTGTATGATCAGGCCTGCACCCCAGCAATCCGTCATCCGATGAAACAGCTCATAGGAGGCCAAGCATATACTGGGAGAGGACAGACCTATAGAGCAAAATAATAGAACAGAGAGTCCAGAAATAAAACCTGGCTCTATGGTCAAACGATTTTTGAAAACAATGCCAAGACCATTCAGTAGGGAAAAGAGTCTTTTCAACAAATGGTGCTGGGGAAACCGGCCAGCACATATAAGAGAATGAACTTGGACCCTTACCTCATGTCTTATAATAAATACTTAACTCAGAATGGATCAAAGACCTAATAAACAAGAAGAGCTAAAAGTCTAAAACTCTTAGAAGAAAATAAAGGTATAAATCTGCATAATCCTGGATATGCAAGATGTGATACGAAAAGCAAAAGGTAAACCAGATAAACTGGACTTCACCTAAATTAAAACTTTTGTGCAAAGGACATTATCAAGAAAGTGAAAAAACTACCCACAGAATGGGAGACTGTATTTGCAAATGATTTACCTAAGAAGGGGCTACTATGCAAAATATGTAAAGAGCTCTTATAACTCAATAACAACAACCAACCAACCCAATTTAAAAATGGACAAAGGGCTTCAATCAACATTTCTCCAAAGATGGCACAGAACTTGGACAACAAGCACAGGAAAAGATGCTAAACACCACTAGCCACGAGGGAAGTGCAGATCAAAACCACAGTGAGATCCTACTTCATGCCACTAAGATGTCTATAGCAACAAAGAAATGAAGCTCTGAGGAAAATGTGGAAAAACTGGAATTTGCATACCTTGCTAGTGAGAATGTAAAGTAGTGTAGCCACCATTGAAAGTAGAGTAGTGGTTTCTCAAATTAAACAGAGTTAGTTACCAGATGATTCAGCAATACCACCCTCGAGTATGTACCCAAAAAAGCAGAGTATAGATGTTCAAACCAAAACTTGTACATGAACGTTCAAAGCAGTACGACTCACAATAGCAAAAATTTGAAAACACAAATGTCCATCAACAGATAAAGGGATGAACAAAATGCAGTACATCCATACAATGGAATATTTGGCCACAAAAAGGAATGAAACTCTGACACTTACTTACAACATGGATGAACCTTGAAAATATTATGCTACAGTGAAATTTGCCACATACAAAAGGACAAATATCATATAATTCTATTTATATGAGGTACCTAGCAAAGTCAACACAGAGAGACAGAAATTAAACAGAGGATACCAGACTCTGGAGGAAGAAGGTAATGAAGAGTTACTGTTAATGGGTACAGTTTCTGCTTGCAAAGATAAGAACATTCTGGAAACAGATGGGGTGATGGTCACACAACATTGGGAATGTACTTAGTACCACTGAATTGTAACACTCAGAAATAATTAAAACAGTGGGGCGCCTGGCTGGTTCAGTCCATAAAGCATGCAACTCTTGATCTCAGGGTCGTGAATTTAAGCCCCAGGTCAGGCATGGAGCCTACTTTAAAAAAAAATTTTAACAGTAAAAATTGTGTTGCAGATGTTTACAATTTTAAAAATCCTTAGAAATACAAAGCCCCTAATATGGCGTCACTCCCCAGGGAGGATCAACCAACCACCTCACCTGGTGGCAGATGATTTCTTTGGACCTCTTCCACTGAGAAGGGGCAGATTCATCCCCACTGGAATGGACACATGTTCTGGACATGGGTCTGTCTTCTCTGTCTGCCATGCTTATAGCAGCACTAACATCTGGGTACTGACAGAATGTCTTACCCACTGTCCTGCCCCATCTGATCAAGGATGCATCTTCTAGCAAAGGAAGTACAGCAGGGGGTTCATACCCACTTTCCCCTTGAATCAACAGGCCTTAACTGAAAAGCGGAATGGCTCACTGACTTGATTACAGCATGAGGAGAGGGACAATATCCTGTCTTAAAAGCTGCAATACAGTCTTTGAATCTAAGACCATTATATGGTAAAGTTTCCCAAAGCCAGAAAACATGGTCCTAGGAATCAGAGGGTGGAGGGAGGGCTGGTTTCTCTTATGATTATACCTAATAACCTGCCTGCAGAATTTTTGTTTCCCACCCTGCCAACTGCTGATGTGGGAGGAATCCTTACATTGGTCCCAATGATTTGAAGATGAGGCTGCACCTCATTATTTTGGGCTCCTCAGACCACTGAGCCAACAGGCTGGAGAAAGGAGCTCTTCTGCTGACTAGAGCAAATGAGCTGGGTGTGGAGGGGAGACCAGGCTGACGCTACCCAATGAGGGCAAGAAGATTCTCTGAGGTTCCCCTTGGTACTTCCATACCTAACAATAAAGATTAATAGAAAACCACAGCCTACGAACAACAACAGTAAATTGCTTCGAGGACTCAGACTCTTTGGCGATGAAGGTTTGGGTCACTCTAGCAGATAAGGAAACCCCAACCAGCTGAGGCTCTGGCTGTGGACAGAGGAAATATGGAACCAACCATAGAAGGAAGCCATAGATCAACAATAGTCTTGTGACCAACTACAAAAACAAAAACTACACGTTTTCTCTTTACAGATCAGATATGGAAAGTTAACTTTACAATTCAGACTTTAGGTATCAGAATATTCAGAGGGACTGAAGCTGGATTTGAGGAGTAATATAGATAGCAATAGATACAGAAACTGTTGGAACTGTTGAGTCTCATTTTATGGAAAGAACGAGAACGTGTAAGACAGCTGTATCTTAATAGGTAAGAATTGAGTTCTTTTCAGGAACTGCAATGTGTGTGGAAGGGTCATATGGAAACTGAGTGGCCAAAGGAAGGGGCTGTAACATTGGTTGGTTTATGGTCTCTCAGTTCCAAGTCCATCATTCTCTGCTCTGAGAAAATGAGGAAGTCCCTTAAACATTTTTCCTTCACCAGGTGAGACAATGTTAAGTAGTTTTCTGTGCTGCTTAACAAATTACCAAAAATTCAGAGGCTTAAATCAGCACATATATTTCTTATCTCACAATTTCTGTGGATCAGGAGCCCAGGCACAGGTTAGCTGGGCCCTCTGTCCAGGCAGCAGTCAAGGTGCTGTCCGGCCCACATTACCATTTGCAAGCTCCGCTGGAGAGCAGTCGCCAGCCTCATTCGAGCTGTGGGCAGAATTCGTTTCCTTCCAGCTGTCGAACTGAGGGCCCCGGCTTCCTACTGGTTGCTAGATGGATGTTGTCCTTAGATCCTGGAGGCCACCTGCCTCCCCTTGCCATAAGACCCTCTCCACAGGCAGTTCACGACACATCTGTTTGCTCCTTCAAGGCTGCCTAGAGAGTTCCTCCAGTCTGCTAAGATGGAGTCTTACGTGGTGAGCTGTATTTCTAGGAGACATCCCATCACCTTTGCATCTTCCACTGGTTAGAGGCAAGTTACAGATCTCGTCCACTCAAGGAGAGGGAATTATACAACGGTGTGGATCACTGAGGGACACCTTAGGATGCGCCCAACACACACTAGAAAGACATTGCAAAGGGCAAGAGCGTCCCTTCCTGGTTCTGGAATCCTTACATGGCATTATGCTCTGTGTGTGTGTGTGTGTGTGTGTGTGTGTGTGTGTGTGTGTGTATGTGTGTGTATGGTTTTGCTGGTAGCTGGCTCCTGCAGCCCAAGTGGCTTCTCTGGGGTTCAGCTCTTGCCGAGCAAGTGGCTATTGTCCAGAGCCAGGCTCCTGGTGCAGCACCCAGCCCCTGCAGTGCACAGTGGTCAGCAGCTCACACGGCAGGGCAACCTCCCTGGCACAGCCGTGCCTTCTCAAATGATTCCCGGGTATTCTATCTCAGCCTTGGGGTACAGTGTATTCTACACTTGGATAGATAGCTTAGTATACTTTGTTTTCCTTGCTTCTTACCCACTCAAAGCTCTTGTTTCTTCAATTCCATGTTATAATAATTTTTTTTAAGTAAGTTTCATGCCCAGTGTGAAGCTCAACACAGAGCTTGAACTCAGAACCCTGAGATCAAGACCCAAGTTGAGATCAAGAGTTGGACACTTAAGGGGCACCTGGGTGGCTCAGTCGGTTGAGCGTCCAACTTCGGCTCAGGTCATGATCTCGCAGTTCGTGGGTTCGAGCCCCGCATCGGGCTCTGTGCTGACAGCTAGCTCAGAGCCTGGAGCCTGCTTCAGATTCTGTGTCTCCCTCTCTCTCTGACCCTCCCCTGCTCATGCGTCTCTCTCTCTCAGAAATAAGCATTAAAAAAAAAATTAAAAAAAAAAAAAAGAGTTGGATGCTTAAGTGACTGAGCCACCCAGGTGCCCCGTATGATTTTTATATTAAAACTTCTTTGTTGAGTGGCACCTGGGTGGCTCAGTGGGTTAAGCAACTAACTTCAGCTCAGGAGCTCAGGTCATGATTTCACAGTTTGGGAGTTCAAGCTCCGCATGGGGTGAGCTCGAGCCCCACTTCAGGTGAACAGAGGCCCTGCTTCTCTCTCTCCCTCTCTGCCTCTTGCTCACTTGTGCCCTCTTTTAAAAAAAAAAAAAGCAAATAAAAAACTCCCTTTCTGAACTTGCTGAAACTGTGTGATTTCCATTTACTGATTAGGCTCTCATTCATAGGCTATGTTCAGGTAGGGTCTGCTAGCCACCGACATTCCAATGGCCTTGGGGATGTCCAGGAAACTCACATCTACAAATAAGTCAGTCACTCACCTCTTTACTTTCTTTCAAAAGTTCAAGAGCACAACTGAAGTCTGGGGGAGTAGCTGACAACTGTTCTTTAAGATGGTCCCAAAAGGCATTATGCATTGTTTCCTTGACCTTGCCTTCCAAGCTGTAAGAGGGTTAATTGAGCAAATTACTTTCTCTACCCAAAAATGGTTATAAGGTCATTATCTCCCAAGCCCCAAACAAACAGCATTTGATATGACAAAAGATGATTATACTGACAGGGAAAGGCCAGGAAGGGTGTTTGGACTGCAGCACAGTTGACAAGCTCAGGTCAGACTTAGATGTCCTCAAGGGCATCAGTAAAAGCTCTCAGAAGGGCTTCTCATGATTCTCAGCAGCCCTCCCGCTGCAGCACAAAGAATCCTGAAGAAACCTCAGGCCAGCTTTAGCACTGACTGCATCTAGCCTAGATAACACGTGACTTAGTTTCCATTTATGTATACATACAATAAACTAAATGATTTTTTATTTTCTTATAGTCCTCTAAAATGAAAAAAGGGGGGTGCCTGGGTGGCTTAGTCGGTTAAGCGTCCGACTTTCGCTTAGGTCATGATCTCGTGGTTCATGGGTTCGAGCCCCGCGTCGGGATCTGTGCTGACTGCCAGCTCAGAGCCTGGAGCCTGTTTCAGAGTCTGTGACTCCCTCTCTCTCTGACCCTCCCCTGCTCACGCTGTCTCTCTCTCTCTCTCTCTCTCCTAGAAATAAGTAAAACATTAAAATAAATAAATAAATAAATAAAATAAAATGAAAAAAGGGACTTTCCTTCTTTGATAATATTCCAATATCTGTATTTCCAAATCAACAGGTCTAAAACTGAATTTGCGATCTTCCCCTCCACACCTGTTCCTCTTGTATTCCCAATCTTACTGGCACTACTGGGTACCCAATCATGAAAGTCAGAAAGATCCATCATATCTTCCCCTTAAAAAAAAAAAATAGAAGCAAAGGCAATTCCATTTAGCAAGGACGGTCTTTTCCGCATGGGACACTAGAACCACTGGACAGCCACAGGCAAGAACAACGTATCTATACACAGACCTGGCTCCTTCCACAAATGGGTCACAGGCCTAAATGTAAAATGTAGATTACACAGAAGATAACAGAGGAGAAGGTTTAGGTGACCATGTGGTTGGCAATGACCTTTTATATATATTTTTTTAATGTTTATTTTTTTGAGAGAGAGACAGAGACAGAGCATGAGTAGGGGAAGGGCAGAGAGAGAGAGGGAAACACAGAATCCGAAGCAGGCTCCAGGCTCCAAACTGTCACCACAGAGCCCAATGTGGGGCTCGAACTTGTGAATTGAGAGATCATTACCTGAGCCGAAGTCAGATGCCTAACCAACTGAACCACACAGGTGCCCCTGGAAATGACCTTTTAGATACAACACCAAAAGCAAGATTCATGAAAGAAAAAAATTGGTAAGTTGGAAACCTTGTGCTCTGTGAGGTACACTGCTAAGGGAATGAAAAGACAAAGCACAACCTTTGCAGAACACACATCTGACAAAGAACTAGTATCCAAAATAGACAAAGAACTCTTAAAACCCAATAAGAAGAGAACCACCCAGTTTTAGGACAGGGAGAGATCCGAACAGACACTCAAGTCTGTTCACCAAAGTTGTCCTATGTCAAATGAGCATATGAAAAATGAGCATACTCAACATCATTTCATTAGGGAACTGCAAATTGAATAACAATGACGTCACAATACACATCTATGAGAATGCCCCAGATCCAAAATGCGGACACCACCAAATGCTGGTGAGGGTGTGGAGCCACTCTAAGAACTCTCATGCGTCGCTGGTACAAAATGGTACAGCCACTCCAAAAGACAGTTTGGCGGTGTCCTATAAAACTAAACGTACTCTTGTCATATGATCCAGTAACTGTGCTCCTTCATATATTTAAGCAAAGGAGTTGAAAACGTATGTCCACACAAAAACTTGCACAGGGATGTTTACAGCAGCTTTTGCCAAAACACGGAAGCAACCAAGATGGGACATCTGGACAATGGGATTTTATTCAGTATTACAAAGAAAGGAGCTACCAAGCCCCAAAAAGACATGGAAGAATCTTAAATGCATATGACTTAATGAGAGAAGCCAATGTAGGATTCCAATTACATGATGGTCTGGAAACCAACGGAGACAGTAAGAGGATCAGTGGTTGCCAAGGATTCGTGGGGCAGGGAGAAAAGGGGATTTTTGGGTCAGTGAAATCACTTTGCATGATGCAAAAATGGTGAATTCATGACATTAAACATTTTTCAAAACCCATAGAATATACAAGAAATGAACCTCAGTGTAAACTACGAACTTGAGTTAATAATAATGTATTAATACTAGATCACCAATTGTAACAAGTGACTCACTATTACAAGATATAAACAGTGGGGGAATCTGTGTGAAGATGGGCTGTGTGGGAAATTTGTACTTTTTTTTTAATATAATTTATTGTCACACTGGCTAACATACAGTGTGTACAGTGTGCTCTTGGCTTTGGGGTAGATTCCCGTGGTCCATCGCTTACGTACAATACCCGGTGCTCATCCCAACAAGTGCCCTCCTCAATGCCCACCATCCATTTTCCCCTCTCCCCACTCCCCATCCACCCTCAGTTTGTTCTCTGTATTTAAGTCTCTCTTATGGTTTGCCTTCCTCCCTGTTTGTAACTGTTTTGGGGAACTTGGTACTTTCCAATCGTTTTTCAATATAAAACTACTTTAACAAAATGTATTGGGGTGCCTGAGTGGCTCAGTTGGTTAAGCATCCAACTTTTCGGCTCAGGTCATGATACGATTCATGAGTTCAAGCCCCACATCAGGCTCTGTGCTGACAGCTCAGAGCCTGGAGCCTGCTTCAGATTTGGTGTCTCCCTCCTTCCCCCCCCCCCCCGTCCTCCCCCGCTCACACTCTTCCCCTCTCTATCAAAAATAAACATTTAAAAAAAATTTAATGTGTCTATTAATTTAAAAAAAGAATGACAGGAATTAATTTCCTCTGAAAGTTTATTAATGAGTTAGGCTCATAAGAAGAAAAAGAACCATCTGAAAAGTCTCAGGCTGTACCCGGTCATTGCCAAGTAACTACTGGTTTTCTTGAATTCCACCCCTTAAAAATATATAGTAGTAATGCATGCTCCTTGTAAAACAAACAAAAAATCAGCTATACGAAGATGGAAAAAACCAAAAAGTCAAAGTTCCTTTCCCAACACACCATTCTCAATCGTCAGAGGAAACCAAGTATAATCTGCCCACTGGTCTAAGGTGCATTAGAATTGTTCTCAGCTCTTTCCTCCTCTGCCTACTTATCCACTCCATCTCTAAGTTCCATAAACTGTGAGTCTTATATGTGTCTGGAATCCATCCCCTCCTCCCATCACCTCTCACCTGGATTCAGTAGCCTATTCACTGGTCCCCTGCCTTCAGCCTTGTCCCTTGTCAATCTGTTCTCCACCAACTCATTCTATTTTTTTTAATTTTTTGTTTTTTTTATTCATTTTGGAGAGAGAGAGACAGTGTGAGCAGGGGAGGGTCAGAGAAAGAGGGAGACACAGAATCTGAAGACAGGCTCCAAGCTCTGAGCTGTCAGCATAGAACCTGACGGGGGCTCGAACCCACGAACCGTGAGATCATGACCTGAACCGAAGTCGGACGCTCAGTCGGACTAAGCCACCCACGAGCCCCTCCACCAATTCATTCTAAAATCTAGGACTTCTTGGGGCGCCTGGGTGGCCCAGTTGGTTAAGCATCACACTCTGGATTTCAGATCAGGTCATGATCTCACAATTGTGAGATCATGCACTGGGCAAGGAACTTGCTTAAGATTCTCTCTTTCTCCCTCTGCACCTCCCCAATTTGCATGTGTGCTCTCTCTCTCTCAAAAATAAATAAAACAAAAGAAATTAGAATAAAATAAACAATTTCTAAAATTCAGTTCTGATCACAATGCCATGCTCATTTATAGTCCTCTAGGGGCTTCCCCTCACCAGCATGAACCACTAACTGGACCCTCCGGACATTGCTCTGCCTCCTTCCCCCTTTTCTCCAGCTCATCTCCTCCTATCTCACAGTAGTTGTGCCCAACCACACCAAGGAACTTGTGAAGAACATCCTATATTCTTGCCTCTGACAGTTTCCTCTGCCAGGAGCACTGTTTCCCACCCAGACCACCTGGAGAGCATCTATTCCGCCTCTAAGATGCAACTCAAGTCTTCATAAGCAGCTCAAGTCTTCCTCTGTGGGCCGATCTTCTGTGCCCCTCCTTAAGCAAATGAGGATGCTCATGAAAACTATATACACAACCGCAAGCAACTTACCAGTCTTTACTGTTATTCAACGGTCTCTCCCACAAAAGCTTCCTAATAGCAATGGCAGTGCCTTACTTATGGATAATGGTATCTCTATCTATCTCCCCATTTTGCCTGTCACATAAGAACTCAATATACGCCTAATGAATGAATGTCCAAACATGGGATTCCCCTTCGGAATATGCGATTGTCAATAACCCCATCCTATCCACCAAGGAAAGCCAATTGCTGATAATGAGTGACCTCAAACTGTATTTCCACATTTTCCCTGATGTGAAGTCTGTGTTACCTTATGTGAAAACCCAGCTCTGATTCGTACTATTTCCTCTGCTTCATTTCTCCCTCTGGCATCTCTTCTACCCACCCCCGCTCCCCCGCCAACTGTCTCACTACCACCCCTGTGGCCGACCTTAACACCCTATTTCATTCTCTTCTCCTCCCCTGCAAGCAACATCGTACCTAAGCAGGGAGAGAGAGGTTAGGAAACGTGGGTTTTGGTGAAAACCTGTTGCCACAGAACCTGTATGGACCCCCATTGGTACCAGGCAAGGGCAAATCAGAGCATGGAGAGGAGGGAGGGGGACAGTGTGTGACACTCAATGGCCCTTTAGTCACAGATTCCCTGAACCTGTGACCACATAACAAAACCAATTAAGGAAGCTGACTAATCACAAGCTGCCCTTTGTATCTATTGGTGGGACATTAGAATGGTTTTAAATTCTGACATGACTTTACCCATTCAACTTGCCGATAAACCAGCAGAGCCGCTTAATCCATTCTTACCAGATGGTTCTTCTTTATGACACTGCCAATGTAACTAAGAAGCAAAGTGAAGCTTGGAGGAGGTAGGGGAGCATTATTTATCAACAGAGTTCTGATCCTGGTTCCTAAAAGAATCTGATTTCTGAAGCCGGCCAAAAAGAGAATCGAAAACGCCACTATGAGAAAATTAATAGCTTATCTGTGCCTGTTTAATCTGTGGTCACGTAAAAGAGCCATTGAAAGGAGCTCTGAGACAGGCAGCTGGGAGGACGACCCCAAAGATCTAGAATTCCTGGCATTCACACCGGTGTCATCTCATCTCCGGAGTGTGGGTGGCGTTTAGCATCCACCTTCTCGAGAGAACTCAGCAGAGGCAACGGGAGACACTTTCAAGATGAGGTAACAAAAGACTGTGGGTTCCTCCATGGGTACCACCTCTCACACCTTTATTCTCTCACTCACTCAAAGTGAGGGAACCCAGCTGCCGTGTGGCAAGAAACTGAGAGGGGCTCTGGCCAGCAGTCAACACACTGACCGCAACCTCATGAGAAGGAGACCTTGAGCCAGAGGCCTTCGGTTACACCATGCCCATTATTTCTGACCCACACAAACTGTGAGGTCATGAACACGGTTTTAGTTACTAAGTTTTGGGATAATTTGATGGCAATAGCAGCCTGCTACCACAGGCTACTTCCTCCACACCCATCAAAGAAGACCTGAAATCTACCCTATTGAACATTTCCAATAGTAATTACTCTGGATGACTCACTAGTTAAATAACATTTTCTTCTTGATCCTCTACTAATAATAATTATTGCTCTTCTGTTTAAGTTGTTGAGACCTCTTAATAAGGTTTATATCCAAACACTGTATTTTTTTCCAGTTTAATTGAGAAAGCATTGACTGACTGTACTATTAAATAAAAATGTGTCAAGTCTGGTCAGAAGCCATTTGTGCTAAATACCTATACCAGTATGAATAAAATGGGAAAATCAGAGAAGCCGGTACCTGCTTGGAGGTAAAACCTTTTCTTCCATGTGGAAATCACGATTCATTCCAATCTTGTTGTTCAGCTTAGAAACGTTGTCAACTATTTCTATTGGACCTGTGACACAAAGAATTTATGTACACCTGAAACCCACATTATGTACCAACTCTATCTCAATTAAAAAAAAAAAAAACTTATGGACACAAGCCTGAATGTCTATTTTATTCAGAGATTCCCTCTCAGTAGGTCCCAAATTTACATTCATCAACTTGATCTCACACAAACTCATTCAACCATTCTAGTCATTTCTGTTTTCTGAACTCTAGGCCCTGTGCCTGTAGCCCAGCATGTAGTAGCCAACTGTCCCAGGCCTCAGTGTCTCACAGAGTAGTCCAGTGTGGGGACAAGGGAGTACAAGGAAGCTACTTTACAAGTAACAAACAAGCAAAATGATAATGAAAGCAGTGAAGAAACAACAATTTGTGATTTGCAAAAATAAATATTTATCTAAGAGGACTGAGTCTACTCTCCTCTTCCGGCCTCTGATAAGAGTTAACATCTCCATATAGATGGTATTAAATTGCACCAATGTCTTTCGTTCTTATAAAGCAGTAGCTCCCAGATGTTAGGATTTCACAGACTACTAACATTTCCAAAAAGACTTCTGAGCCATGGACAACGTGCCAACTTTTTGTTTTGCCAAGTATGAACAGTGAGATCCAACAACTAAGCAATTAAAAAATCCACTCTACCACCACCAAGCCATCATTTCGTAACAGAATAACCTCAAAAAAAAAAAAAATCAACCAAGCAAAAACCAAAAACAACAAAAAACCCAAAAAACCCAGAAAGGGAATATTTTCAGAATAAAGAGTAGTCCTTTACATTGAATCAATTTAGCTTTAGGAAAAACTCATTATAACATCTTTATTTTCTTTCACTAAATATTGCTAAGAATTTTGTCACGAGCCAGTACTAGCAGTTGGAAACCACTGCTCTAAAGTTTTAGCACAGACCCAGCTGATAGCATTCTCACATTAAAGGTATAATAGTTATAATGATCTTTTGGTATGTAAAACGAAGGTATACACAGTAAGTCATATTTTCCCATTCTCTTTCAATGTCACTTTATAATTTGCTTCCAGCAAAGTACCTGGTTCCAAGACACGGAGTGGATATAAATGAACTAAGATTGGCCATAGGTTAGTTGATCATTGTGGAAGCCAGGTGACGAGTAAATATGGTTCATGATACTAGTCACTATACTTTTTTAAATGTTTAAGCCTTTCAGAAGTAAGAAGATTCAAAATGTAAAAAAGGGGGTGTGGGGGTGGGTGTGCACCTGACTGGCTCAGTGGGTAGAGCACATGACTCTTGATCTCAGGGCAGTGAGTTCAAGCCCCAGGCTGGGCAGGGAGCCTATTTTTTAAAGAAGGGCAGCGGGGGGCGGGGGAACACAGTGGGGAAACTTTTCTATGTAGAAAAAAGGTTACATAGAATGCCTTGGATATTAACAATGTGGACATTCACTGTGCTTTTCCTTTACTTTTCAACAAAGTTGAAATATCTCAAAATTCAAAATTAAATAAAAACTTACGGGTAAAAAGGTGATCACAAATTTACCAAAAAGCCACTGAGCCCTTACTTAGGTAAACATAAAGATGAACTGAATCTTAATGGATAGTTGGAAGTTCACTTTATTTTTGCAGCCCTTCTGAAGTCATTAGTTTCAGCCAAGATGGCAAAGCACAAATATGTAAATAGACTATCCCTGAATCCACTAATGCGAAATGAGAAGGAAGAGAACATGTTCAAAGGGAGATTGAGCTAAAGCAGCTTACTGAAGGACTGAGAGATCACACAGAAACTCTTTCCAACTACAAGTCAAAGTTCATAACCTACTTGACAAGATTGTTCTGTTTCTCAGGAGTTCTGTGGCACTGTGCAACTCCCAACAGCTGTAAAAATCAGGAAAGGGGAGGGCCCAGAGGGAAATGAGAGATAAAATCAACGAATGCAGGTTTTTAAAATCCAGATCCCGAGGACGAAGAAATTTTCAAGATGATATGGAAACTGAGCCAAGTCAACCTACTATACAAAATTTCAAATTCCTCTTTTTAAAGGAGAAATTTGGTTATTCATTTTAGGGTTGTTTTCCCTATGGATTCACTTAAATTGTTTACAGTGTATTTACAGAACAATTGGCTTCCACCCCCACATCAGGTTCATAGCTAAATAAATTCCACTGCACCCAATTTGTCACTTTGGGCTCATTCTGTTAGCCAGCAGCGCCCCCACGTGGCTATAGGAGAAGTAAGTAATTCAACTTAATTTTTCCCATTTCAAACCTGAAGAATTTAACACAGGTTAAACTCCTGCGTATGGACAGGTCTTCAGATTGATGCCTGTTTAAATTCCCTGGAGACTGGGGCGCCTGCGTGGCTCAGTCGGTTGAGCTTCCGACTTCCGGCTCAGGTCATGATCTCGCGGTTTGTGGGTTCGAGACCCCCGTCGGCCTCTGTGCTGGCAGCTGGGTCAGAGCCTGGAACTTGTTTCGGATTCTGTGTCTCTCTCTCTCTCTCTCTCTCTCTGACCCTCCCCTGCTCACGCTGTCTCTCCCTCTCAAAAACAAAATTTTTTTTAAAAAAAATTCCCTGGAGACTATCATAAGAGACATGCAGGATCCGTCCTAGTGAGGCTAGACCTACCGAAGTGTGGGAGGGCCCTTGTGACCCAAAAGGAACATGAAAGTACATCTAGTACATCTACAGTACGGAGCTCAAGCACGGGAGCCCAAAGCAGTGGTACTTCTTGAGCCAACGAAGCGCCAAGAGAACACAATTCCCACCCGGGATCACTTGGGTTCTTTAAAGCTACTCCCAAGAGCCCGCCATTTTCCACCTACAAATTTAAACTACAACGACCGACGGCTGTGTACGGACTCGGCGTCAAATCTTGTCAGATTCAAGTAATCACACCTGGCTCGCTTTTTCCTGGAACAACAACTCTTTGAAGGCCTTCGGGTCAACAGGGGTCCTGGGGCCTGTAGGCAGAGACTGGGTGGTGGGAGACAAGGCGAAGGGCAAAAGCAAGAAGAGCGGGGGGGGGGGGGGGGGGGGGGGTGCGACGGGCAGACTGAGGGCCCTTCCTCTTCAAGAGTCAAGCGGCTACAGGCCGGCGGGGCGGGACCTACAGGGAACGTGGGCCTCGGGGCGGCTCTGGTTTTCCCCGGTCGGTGCTGAGGCTTCGGGCTTGCAGGACCCGCACTCTGCATCGCCTGGGTTCTTCAGAGGCACGTTCTCCTCGACGTCCGGCATGCTGCGGATGGAATCTGGGTTGGGGAGAAATGACGCGCCGTCGGCGTCGGGGAAAGGGACTCTCCAACTGCCGACTGGGGGCTGGAGCCTACCCCTTGGCGCCCGACGCGGACAGACCAAAAGAGTAGGGTGGGCACCTTCGGGGCGGCTCGGGGGACAGACGGGACAAAGGAGCCTGGAGGAGGGGTGCCGGGAACCAGAAGTCGGGCTCTGGGCGCGCAACCAGGAGGCAGCAGGCCGGAGGGGCGGCGCAGGGCGGGGCCCTCCTCGTCCAGGGCGCCCGCCGCAGGCCCTCTCAGGCTCCCGCAGCAGGGGGAGCTCTCGGCGCTCCGGCGCCCGCCGCTCTCCTCCTCCCCGGAGACCCGCCGCCGCCGGGTCTGGGGTCAGTGCCGCTGCCGCGCAGCCTCGGGGCCCGGGCCGTACCACTGCGGCGGGGGGCGGGCGGCCGGGAGGGGCTGGACGGCGACGCGGAGGCGACTGGTCGAACGCCGCGCGCACCCCCGCCCACCACGCCGGGAGCCCTCGGTGGGAGAGTCGGGGATTTGAGAACAAAGCGCCGCCCGTCTCCTGGGGCAACGGGCGGGGTCACGTGCCCACCCCGCAGGCCGCAGCCCGCCGCGCAGCGGGGGCCGAGGCGGCCGGGCTCGTGCTGGGTCGTCGCGGGCGCGAAGGCCACCGGGCCTCGGGTTACGTGGTTGCCGGGGCTGGTCTCTGCCCGGCATCTCCGGGCTCCCTCCACCCCCCACGAAAAAGATCACCTGGACCTGCGTAGGTGGGGAGGAGCCCTGTGCTTTGTTTCTCCTCTGCCCGCTCTCATAGCCCGAGAAACAGAACCACATGCAGGAGGGTGGTTTCTTTTTAGTACATCCTAGGCATCTGGAGAGAGCAAGCCCGTGCCACCATTCTACAGGTGGGGAAACTAAGACTCCTGGCCAGGTGCTGGTCCATGGGGGCTGGGCAGCAGTGTAGGCTCCTCTTGGACCGGGGGGTGGGGGGCGGGCTGACCCTTGTATTCCTGGTTCCAAGTCACTGGCCTGTCTTGGTTCTGGGTCTGCTTTTTGCCCCTGGAGTGATGTGGGAATCTGGAGCCACCACCCTCCGCTCCAATCCCCACACTTTGGGGGAAACAAATGAAAAAAGTGTCCACTCTGTACTCCCCTACCCCTCTTTATTAACTGACTTGATTTCTTACAACAAAAGCTTGCTTTAACATAATAAAACAAAACAGAAGATGAAAGTATTGCCTGTAAAAAATCAAACTCCTATTAGAACCCTTGCTTTGTTGTGTGGAATGTGGATTTTTCTTGCACAACTCATGCATTTTGAAGGGGAAAATTATGAAGAGGCCTAAGAACAGTTCTTTCTTTCCTTCTTTTTTTTTTCTTTTCTTTTTCTTTCTTTCTCCTCTCTCTCTTTTGTTCTTATCTCTACACCTAAATGGGGCTTGAACTCGTGACCCCTAAGATCAAGAGCTGCATGCTCTACTGACTGAGCCAGCCAGGTGCCCCTGAAAACATTTCTGGTTAAGAAAGTCCACTCTTCTCTGAGGCCAAGGCAGATGTGAAGGGAATGGCCTAGTAAAGTTACTGTTTAGCTGAGGAGTTCTTAAACCAGTACATGCTAAACCTGCCCACTACCCCCTCCTCGACCTTTCCTGGTATTTCCCTCAGAGATGTCAAATATGAAACAGGCTGGCCTTCACACTCAGAAGGGAGAGAAATTGTCCAACTTCAGCAAACAGTGCAATGAAAACATGGTCCTTTATTAGTACATAAGGAGATGTTTAGGTTGAGTCTCTTTAAAAAAGAGAGAGAGAAATCCAGATTTCTGTTTGGGCATTTTTATTTCTGGGAGAAAGTTTCCAGAATGACACCAGTTCAGTTGCCCACAAAAATGGCATTGCCATAAAACTATCCCCGCTGATGCCTGAGATTACCTCCAGCAGTTCATTCAGATACATTACACAGTCTCTTTAAATGTCTTCTTAATACCCCAATTCTCTGGAAGGGGCAATGGGAAGAAATAACAGTGTGGGCGCACGTGGGGGTGGGGACTGAAGCCAGTAAAGGGGTAAAGAATGGGGGTGGGAGAGAAAGACAGAATTAGAGTTTTCCCAGGGTCAGCCTGGGGACAGAATTTCATGATCTTTATCTCTAATAGTTAGCAGAACCAACTAGGCAAAGTTAAAAGTTGAGGGGAATAGAAAGATGATGTGGGAGATATACCCTCCTTCCCTTTAGGGTCTTAGTTAATAATAACTGATTTTTGTCTAATGATTTACAAAATGCTTTTACATTGCAAATCCATAGGCTCTGCACACAATCCTACCCGGTCAGTAGGCAAGGTGGGTGTTATTTTGCACCATTTAATAGCTGAGCAAACTGGGAATCAGAGAGATTTCAGGGAGGAACCAAAAGTCACATAGTAAGTAAGGTCTTGACCTCCAATCATATACTTTTTCTTAATTCGCCCTACCTCCCTGACTCTGGCTGAGAAGCTGTATAAACAAGAAAATATAACTAACATAAAACGGTACGGTAAGTATCCAAGCTGGGGGTACAGACAAGTTGATACCAGAGGTCAGAGAAAGGGTGAGAGATCTTCCAGATGTTTGGATCAGTTCAAACTCAGCCTTCAGCCAGGAGCCAAACTCAGTCTTCAGCAAGATTGTGTAACCAATTTGGTCTTTGGAAATGGGTCCTTTGTTCAGCCTGGTTCCTTTTCAACCTCGGGACCCTCTTTAAACTCTCCTGATGGGTGTAATTGGATTTTCCACATATGTCCACTATTTATCAGGAATGCCCTTCTCGAGTGAGTGAGTAGCACCTTTACCCTATTAAAGTGTACATATTTCAGGGGCGCCTGGGTGGCTTAGTCGGTTGAGCGTCCGACTTTCGCTTAGGTCATGATCTTGCGGTTCGTGGGTTCGAGCCCCGCGTCGGGCTCTGTGCTGACTGCCAGCTCAGAGCCTGGAGCCTATTTCAGTCTGTGACTCCCTCTCTCTCTGACCCTCCCCTGCTCACGCTGTCTCTCTCTCTCTCTCTCTCTCTCTCTCTCTCTCTCTCCCCCCCCTAGAAATAAATAAAAAATATAAAAAAATAAATAAATAAAGTGTACATATTTCAAGGGATGTGTGAAACAAGTGTTTTTCAAGCAACCCAAGGCAGAAGTAAAAGCCCCGTTTCCTCTCACATTGCAGTGTGCACATAACCACCCTCTCCAGGTTCCCTTTTTATATTAAGATATCATATGATTTTTATCTTCTATTCACAATAGTTCCCTAGTTGTCTTAATACTAGAGTCACTTTCCTCTCCTCAAATCTTTGAGTAGAACTCTTGTTCCGGAAGGAAGGGCTGGTGCACCCCTATATACCCCTGTGGGTTCATACACCCCAGGCTGAGAAGCCATGTAAGGGAATCTTGGGCCTACAGCTGGAATGTTCCTGCTTTTCAACCACTTCCCCCATATGTGAGCTTTAACCCAAGCCCTACACGGTGATCTGTTTTCATTCGCTAAATACTACCCTGGGTACGTTACCACACAAAAGCAATTATACAGAAAGTTGGTCCTACCCACAAAGATACTCTGAAAGAGGGGCTGATAAAGACCAAAATGTAAGAGAAATACCCCTGGATGACTGTAAGAGGTACAGAGCCACAGGACTTAAAAGGAATCCTGAATACGGATCTGCTGGCTTTGTAAGACAAAACAAAATAACAGAAGTGAAAAACACCTCATTTTACAAAGCATCTGGGGCTCGGGGAGGTTAAATGACTTGGCTAAGGTCACCATCAGTTTATGGACAATTCAGGACTAGAACCCATATCGCAGCGTTTATAATATATAGAGCTAAGCAAGAGTAAAAGCTAATACTGTAAATAAATATTTGCATTTCCTAAAGAAAAATGTAAATGACAGGCCATGGAATGGAAAAAGTGAGAGATGGAATTAAATAGAGGCCAAGACAGTAAGTACAGGAGGCTGTACTGGAAGATAAACAGTCAACTAAAGTGGTAGGGACGCCTAAATACAGGGTGGGACATTTAAATGAAACCATTTGGAGTCATGTAAACCGGGACTGACTTCATTATAGCCTCCCTTATGGTACAGAATCGCACGTCAAAACTATTTGCTTTAGTCTCTTGATAAATGTGTTTTCCCCATAGGACCCAAGAGGAGTGTGAGAAAGGTTCAAGTAATCCGGGGGCAGTCTGGACAGAGCCCTTCGAGGCTCAAAGTAAAGTGTGATGGATGGAGAAACCTTTACGAATCTTTTAAGGAAAGAGGGCTCAAAGAGAGACTAAAGAAGATTCTGGCAGCCGCGGTTAGACATCCTACCTCGTTAGCCACATCTCACTCTACCAGCAATATTCAAGAGGCCCTTGGTCCTTCCTGCCTCTTTGCACATGCTGTCCCTTCCATCTGGGGCCTTCCCCTTCCCCTATCCCCCTCACACTCCACTCACTCCCTCTTATTCTTCAGGTCCAGATTGTCAGGTCTAACTTCCTCAGAAAAACTTCCGTGAACCTCATTAGCTTCTCGCAACACCCTCTATGTTTTCTTCATAGCTCTCACCACAGTAAGTAGATAATTATGTGTTTGTTAGCATAATTAACTTCCTTAAATGTCTAACTCCACCGTGAGACTGTAAGCTTCCTGAGGGCAGGGACTGTGTGCACTTCATTTACCACTGTGCCTGGAACGGAGTATATGCAGGATAAGCAAACGGCGGGCGGCAGCTGCGGGGAGCCACACAGAATGAGCCCCTGCTCCCCCCACGCTCTCTAGAAGTCAGGCACACTGCGTCTGTCACTGTCTGGACTCAGCTTCAATCACCAGCGTCCGTCTGTTTTGTCTCTGTTTTGTCTCATAGACATGCTTCCTCTCTTTCCATCTCTTCTCTGCCCTGTAAGTCTTTGAAATCTTCAAAGACAACATCTGAGAGAAAAGGAAGGGTGTTTAGGGTCCTGTGACAGGGAGGTCCCCCCTGAACCGAATGGTGGCAGTAGAGGGCAGTGGCACCCTGGGAATAACTTCCAGAAATAGGCTCCTGGTGAGAGTCAGTCTCTCTCTCCCTCTCTCTCTCTCCTCTCTCTCTCTCTCCCCTCTCTGTAGACCAAGCCAGGGTCAGCAGCAGCCCAAAGCCACAAAAACTGACTTTAAAAGTCCTCCTAAGAGCTGCATCTTTCAACTCCCCCAAAACAATCACGCCTTGTGCCCCAGGACACAGCGCGAGTTCCACACTTAAAGCAGTTTCCACAGAACCGCATTCAGTTGGTTTTAAACTCTGGGGAAAGCTGGCAGCCTCTTTGTGGGTTTAAAAAAAAAAAAAAAAAAACTAGTTAGAGGGACAATTAAACCTTTATGGGCCCCAGAATGTACCTATGCAGACATAAATAAGGATCCTTCTTCATCACCAGAGAGAATCCACTTTTTGGCAATAGATACATTTTTCTCCCATCGCAGGACAGAGTTGAGCTCACACCTGAGAGCCTTTAGGATGAGGGCAGGTGATGGGGGGTCAGCACGAGCAGAGGTACGACTTTGACCATAAGTTCTCAAAATGGACACATTGCAGGCCTTGGGCTCAGCTGGTCTTAAATAAATCACAAACTCCCAAAGCCTCCCCAGAAAGCCGCCCGGATTTTAGGCCAAGAAAATGGTCTTGCTCCCCCCACCCCCACCCCCTTGTGTTACTCTGGGCCAAAATGGTTCATTTGTCAGAGTCCTGACTCCTTTATTCCCACTCTTACAACACAATACAATGCATTCACGTATTTACAGTGCAGTGTCCTTGAATGGTCGGGATGACTTTTTTTTTTTTTAATCCAATAATATCATTAAATGCACCAGGGGGCTAACTTCTTAAAGGGACCTTTGAGTAAACTCTTTTGTTAAGTGAATCAGTCTTTTGTTTTCCAAATCTGAGATTTCACATAAGAGATTTTCTTAAACCAGGCCCACTTTAGATGGTGGCCTGTACATTTTCTTTTGTTTTTCCGTCTTTGGTAAAGACAAGCCCTTCCCGAATAGACATTAGCGGGGAGGGATGAAGGAATCTCAAACACTTGAGAAATAAATCAGTTTCAATCAGTCCTGTCATCCATAATTCTCTCGAACCACCAGCCTAAAGCAAAGTATAATGATCTCCTGACAAAGAATCCGGCTGCACAGATTTGAAGGCCAGTCTATTTGAAGTCAGTTTCAAAAGAAATGCAGAGAATGGGGTTTGGGAAGAAAAATTATTGTTGATTTTTTTTTCAGTGAGGCAAAATACATAGCATAATATTTATCATCTTAACGACCCGGACGTGTACAACCCAGTGGCGTTCAATAAACTAAATTCACAAGGTTGTGTAACCATCACCACTGTCTATAGCCAAAAGCTTTCATCACCAACCCCTCTCCCAACAACTCTCCCCACGAAACAGTAAGTCTCCCTCCCCTCCTCCCAGCCCCCTCTTTCACAGCCCATGATAACCTCTATTCTACCTCCTGTCTCAACCAAGAGAGACGGGAAGGTTTTAAAGTCTGGTTTTACTCTAGGGCTTTTCATCTTCCCTTGGTGCGGCGGGAGAATGGGGAAAGCGTGGCCGCCCTCTTTTTCTCGTAGACTCTTCCCGCTGGGCCTCCCCACTCCCCTTTCCTGCACCCCCACCCCCCCAGGCGTCTAAGAGCTGAAGCGGGAGCTCATTTGAACGGGGGCGAAACAGGCCGAAGCCTCGCAGGAACAAAAGGAGGTCACTGGGTCTGAGTCTCCCTTACGAGCTCAGGAATGGCAAGAATTTTCTGACTTCAATAGTCTGAGGAAGTAGAAACGGGATGGCTAGAGGGCTGTTTTGGTGCCTGCAGCCTGCCTGTAGCCTGCACGTGGCCCCCGTTGAGCACCCATCAGCTACAGCCTTCGGTACCTGAGATCTGTCAGGGCTGAGAGAGATGGGGCTGCACGAAGAGACTTGGGGGGTCCCCTTGGGCACCCTCAAATTCCATGCTTAGAATTTCTTCCATTGAAAAACACTGGCTAAACCACTCATAACCCCTGCAGAATTTACATTTCTTGTACCCATTGGTGACCAACAGAGGCACACTCAGAATGATTCACATCCTACAGTTTGGGGTTTACTTTGTTCAGGATGCTTAGAAATTCTCAGAGGAGCTAACCTCCCTTACCGCCCCCCCCCCCCACTTCCCCAACGCACAACTCAGGGCAACTTACGAAATCTGATTCTTAATTGTTTCAAGAAGTACTCGGGGACCCCCCCAGCGTAGCCTCCCCAGTCCCAGGAAATGCGAGCTTGCCAGGGCCCTTAAGGCAACTCGGGCAAAGCGGTTCTGTGGCACAGAGTAAAAAAAAAGACAGCCATGGGGTGGTGGAAGGGAAGTCACCTCAAAAGCAGGAGGCCTGAATTCCTTCTGCTGCCCACTTGCTGGTGACCTTGGGTAAGTCACTTTCCAGCCCTGCTCTCATTTCCCTCAAGCGGGTACGAGTGCCCTCCAACTGTGAGAGTCTGTGGGAAAAGGAGAGAGAAACAAGGCTTTTCGGTATCTGGAATTCTGGAATTCCATCAGGGCTGACATTGATGAAGAATGGCTGCAGGGAGGCAGAGGAGGAAATTGGGGGAAAGAGAAGAGTGGATGGTATATTGTAGGTGTGTTTTAGGACAGGTTGGGGAGAATGAAGTTTTGGTTGGATCTTTATGAGAAAATGTTCAACAGGTGGGTCAGAATAAGCAGCTGGAATTGAGGAGAGAGGCTGAGACAAATGGACAAGACTGGAGGCTGGGGTCATGGTTGGGAGATGAAATAGTATTAATAATACCAGACAACATATCAAATCCTTAGCAGGTGCCAGGCTTTTCAGGAGTCTTTCACACACACGGATGTACTATTATGATTCTCACAACACCCTTGCGATGTTGTTAAAAGATGTTGTTTTGGGGCAACTGGGTGGCTCAGTCAGTTTAGCATCTGACTTCGGCTCAGGTCATGATCTCGGGGTTCATGTTCTCCAAGCAGAGCCTGGAGCCTGCTTCAGAGTCTGTGTCTCCTCTCTCTCTGCCCCTCCCCCTGCTCTCTGGCTCTCTCTCAAAAATAAATAAACATTTAAAAAAAGTAAAAGATGTTGTTTTTATACCTGCTTTACAGCTGAGGAGAACTTAAATATCTGGCTCAAGGTGACACAGGGAATGAGTAGTAAGACAGGGACTTGAACCCAGGGAGTCTGACTTCAGAACCTTGAACCAGTCTTTTATAGGAACCAGTCTAAAAGGAGAGGTGGAGGAACACAAGAGAAAAGCAATGCAGGTGAAAGAACCCTGACAAATACCTATAAGCAGTACTCCTTCCTATTCTCGACCAACTGTGACCTAAAATCAGACCCTGAGAAGATAAAGATGTGGGTCAGAAACAAACCGAGAACCATCCAGGTGTATCTAGCAATGCTGTCCGCTGGTCTGGCTCTGCACATGTTAAATAGCAATCCTGAGCGCTTACCGTGAGCCAGGCACAGTACTAAAAGGTATCACATATATCATCTCATTTAGTCGTCTCACAAATCCCACAAAGAAGGTGCCCATTGTACAGGAGAGGCAACTGGGATTCCAAGAACCGAAGGCATTGAACCCAGCTAGAAAGTCTCGGGACTAGGAACTCAAAATTCAAGCTTGTGCTTCTGGACCCAGCTCAAGCTGCCTTTCCGGACGGTCCCTCCACAGTCACAGAGTGAAACCAGTGGACATCCTGGCTTGTCTAAGGTTACTCCCTTGAAATCAGTAGCTGGAATCAGTATTTGAAGTCAGTGCTTCTGGAAGCTGCGGAAGGGTTATCAGCTGCCCGGAACCAATATGTAAGCTTACAATGTGCATACTGGAGTTCATTTAGCCCAGCTAGAATAAATCAGGGGCTCTCCTTCTTGATGCCAGAGACAAGCACAGCGCATTACCACCAGACCCATTTCCAAGGAGAATCCTGATTGGTCTAAAGTAATCCCATCTCCGTGAGGGTGATTGGTTCAGAGAGAGCACGTGACAGGCCCATAAGGCACAATGAGAGGTCAGCTAGAGGATCCATTAGTCTCTTTGGCAGGAGGGAGCACCCTTCCTCCAGACTTTGTCCATCTGCGGTGGAAAGCCGGCAACTGACCCTGACGGCCATCTCCGTGCTCAGAGTCACAAGGAACCTGTGAAGCCCAGACTCCTGCCTAAAATTCCCCAGCTAATCAAGCCAATACATTTCTTACTGTTTAAATCGCTTGGACTTGA